GTCGATGAAGATCGTGCTCGGCGCGTAGAACCGCGCCTGGAATAATTAAGAAAGAAAGAAACATTTATTGCCATGGACATCACAAAAGACAAAAGAGGTAAAATAAAAAAAAAGCAAATAAGACAGAGGTGACATAAAACATACAATGAGAGAACAAGTAAACTAAGCAGTGCCACCCTGTCACACAGCGATGCCCATCGCAATGGGACCCCACTCAGCATATGCCGTGGCCCCCGGTGAGGGAGGCCACGACGCTGGTTTTCAGTGTGCCCCATCCCGAGTGAGAGTCACGGACACTAACCTATACTGCATAAAATATACATACATAAATAATAATAATAGTGCGAATTAAAGATTAAATACAATTGTTTTCTTAGTCTGTAGGCCTTATTCAGGGTACTTATCACGTCATCATAATAATATAACTTACACCATTCTGGAGAAACGTATTGCAACAAAATGCACTTTTTGATCGAATCGAAAATCAAATCCGTCAAAACTCCATACAAAAAAAAGGCATTTCGACCACTTTACGACTGGTTTGCGATTATAATGTGCACTTTGTCTAGACCCACAGCTGGTATTGAGACCTTTGGCAAATGATTGTTAAGGGTTCTCATGGAAAATAAGCAAATCATAACTGGGACACAAACTTAACCTTCACTAGTTGGGTTTTTATTGGCGGTCAAGATGTAGATCCTGGATACACAGGAGTTGCAGCGGTGGGAACTAGAGGTGGGAATAGTCCTAACCTTTCTTTTTTTACAAATTAATTTCATTGCTTATCCAATGACAGTTCAATTTTCCCCCGGGACAAATCTTTATCTGTTGGTCAACCTGTAGATTCTGAGTGCACAAGAGTTGCAGCAATGGGGACAAGAACTGAAATAGTGCATGATCGGCAGGTAAGAGGATGTAGTGCAGTAAACCATAATGAAAAATTTTGTAAAGTTACAAAGACTACCTACTACAACTTTGTCTAGGGGGCAGAAAATTCCAAAGTTTATGCTATAGTCTGGTTTGCGAGCACGTAGAATTTTGTCCAATGACCCCAAGCTACCCATCCTTATCGCTCGCGCGTAATTATGTTGCTGTCGCGCTCGCACACTCACTGCGGGCGCCCGTCGCACAGTCGCCACGCGCGAGCGATAAAGATGGGTAGCTTGGGGTCATTGGACAAAATTCTACGTGCTCACTGACCGGGCTTTAGCTGCGAATACATACCATCTCAAACAACAGCCGCACCAGCTTCTCCGACTCTCCGCGGTACTTAGACGTGAGGGTTGACGAGGACACGTTGAAGAAGGTGGTCCCGCACTCCGTGGCCACCGCCTTGGCCAACATGGTTTTACCCGTGCCCGGCGGGCCCACCATCAGCACGCCTTTCCACGGCCGCCGGATGCCCTGGGGACGAATTAAAATAAGTTATATCATCTTGGCGGATTCAAAAATCACAGATTTCTCTGGCTAAGACACCTGGAGAGAATGGGAGAGGATCGTGTGGCGAATCTAGGACGACCAAGTGGCCGTTGAACGGTTAGTCGTCCCAGGTACCGCTGAAGAGACGAAATTGCGATGGACCTACGTGATCTCTACATCGATAACAGGCGAGAAGTAGTGGAACAGACCGGATGGAGTGGGGATTCTTAATGTCGGTAGTCAAGACTTTATTAAGGTCACTACTATCCTTACTTAATAATTGATATTTTTTAATTCCATCCAAATAGGGTCACGCAAACTCAGTAATTTCTGCTATACACACAAAATATAAATAGTGGAAGTAAAAGATACGAGTGTTTCCTAACCAGAGATAGGATAATTTCTACCTTTGATATTTGGACGTAATCTTTTATCAATATTGCAGCGATGACGTCATTTCGCTGAGATTTCAAGATACACAAAGTGATAACATTTCCTGATATGAAAGATAAGTATCTACGTAGAAGATAGCATATGCTTGCGTAAAGATTATTTAGTCGTATGATTAAAATGTATTTAGTCCATTTTACTATGTGGTGGTGAGTAAAGGTATTAAAATTAAATTTTAACACTAGATAATTTACTTTCATCGTCTGTCATCCGGTTTGCACTGGAGGAAAGTCGAACCTTAACTTCGAACTCCTCATATATTCTTCTGATTAATTTCTTTGCAGGTCCAATGACAGTTAACTTTCCCCCGGGACAAACTTGATCTTCACTGGTTGGGTTTTATTGGCGGTCAAGCTGTAGATCCTGCCTACATAGGCGTTGCAGCGGTGGGAACGAGAGGTGGGAATAGTCCCGTCAAACATTTTTTATTTATATTTTTTCCAACAACAACGTACTTTTACAAAGAGGGAAACCTGTTATTGGCTATTCTATCAGTCTAAATCTTATAACATGTTCAATGTATCGCTGTAGGTTTCTAGATGTAATTAAATAATTTACTTTGAAAAAATCTGGCATCCACATTGGCAAGACTACGGCTTCTTCGAGCAGCCGCTTGGCTTCGGTCAGGTCCGCGATGTCGTCCCACCGAATGTTGGGGTTCTTTTGTACGATGTCCCTCTCTGTGGACAAAGTATATTGGTTACAAATAAGTACACATACCTACAGATTTAACGTTTTTTATCCATAACGAGGAAGCTCCTGGCCTGCATCCGGCTCGAAGGACCATAAAGATGTACGAGCTGCTTACTGCACATCTTTAGAATTGACAGAAATGATACGATTTTGAGTACACGCCGTAGCGGTTGATTGTGCACTGATTTGATGGTATGAAAAGTGATACAATTCGGGTGAAAATGCTGATTGCGCGGAATGTGCGGTCAAGACCGTACACACCTGGTGGAGTGATAATCAGGCTGTAGGTGGAAGCGAATCGGAATCCTCGAACACAGAGGAATGTACAACGTAACGTAAAATTATTAAAACTTTTTATATGAAAAATATGTCGCTCTTTTAAAATTGATAAAAACCAGTTACGTTTTTTCGTGACTCGACCCACGTTATTTTTTACTGCTTGTGTGATGGACTCACCGAGCATATCGACGAGGACTCCGTCGGCGGCGCAGGGCAGCTCGAAGCGGCGCTCCTCGTCCTTGTGTTTCTCATCGTTGATGTTGTGTCTCTACTGCTCGTGTGATGGACTCACCGAGCATATCGACGAGGTCTCCGTCGGCAGCGCAGGGCGGCTCGAAGCGGCGCTTTTCCTCCTTGCGTCTTTTGCTTTTTTTTCTCCTTGGTGTTAGTGTACTTAGTGTAGTTGTGGTAGTGTGGTTTTTCTATTTCTACCTTTTACATCTGATGTCTTTAATATGGACTCACCGAGCATATCGACGAGGTCTCCGTCGGCGGCGCAGGGCGGCTCGAAGCGGCGCTCCTCGTCCTTGTGTTTCTCATCGTTGATGTTGTGTCTCTACTGCTCGTGTGATGGACTCACCGAGCATATCGACGAGGTCTCCGTCGGCGTGTTAGTAACAATTTTCACTTAGCCTATGTTAGTAAGATACAAATAATGAAATATGAAGCCGCTTACATAGCACTGGAGACGTGCAAGCTAAGCCAGCGCCCCAGCAGCGGCGAGTCCCACCTGTCAGCCAATGCCCTCAGGATGCCATTTGTACTGCCGCGGAGACGCTCTAGGAGCGATGCGCTCCGCTTCCGAATTATCGCGTGGAAGCCGTCGGTGTGCGCTTCCGCAAACATGGTTGACGCGCTGCAGAACCGCGGCAGGCCAAGTAGCACCCTGAACGCATTGTTGTACTGCACACGCAGTGCGCTGTAAGCGCGCTGGGTAAAGCTGACCCATAGGCTGCACGTGTAAAGAGACTGGCAGTAAGCTTTAAAAAGCGTGATTTTTACTTCATCCTTACAACGCGCAAACCTACGTGCCAACATATTACAACGCACTGACAGCGCCCTGCGCTCCCTTTCTATGTCTACATTATCCTTTAAGTCATCTGTAACCCAGTGACCAAGGTATTTAAATGAGTTAACCCGTTTCAGAGGCACACCACAAAGTGTTAAGTGCGGAACTGATGAGTATGTTTTAGTCCGCGATTTGAAGATCATGAACTCACTCTTCGACACATTATATTTGAGTCCATGTGCCATCGCATACTCCTCGCATATCTTAAGCAGTTTACGCATAGCTGCAATCGACGGGGTCAGCAGCACCATGTCATCAGCATAACTAATATTATTAATACAAACGCCGTCGATATGACACCCGACCTTGGTGCTGCTGAGCCCCTCGATCAGTCGGTTCATGTACAAGTTGAAGAGGCTTGGCGAGGTCACCCCCCCTGCCTCACCCCGCACTCCAACGTGTACACGTCCGAGAAAGCCCCCGCCCACTTAACACTGTTCTTTATATATTGCTATGCAGCTATTAAGCCTTATTTTGGTTCTTGGCTCAGGCATGAGAATACAGCCTTAAGCCCGGTTTCCACCAAGGCCAAGCGGAGCGGAGAAGTGTTTTGAATAATCAGATTTCATTATTCCCACTTCTCTTCTTCGCACCGCGCCACGCCGCCGCTGCTTTCAAATTCTATAGAACAATAGAAAAAAAAATAAGTTTTTGGGAATTGGCCTTAGGTACTGGTATTCACAATATGGGAGTGCGCAGAATACATAATACAAACCGGTGGTATTTGCGCGGGCTTCCGCGTTCTCATTTATATGTTTTGAACTCCGTTTTTGGGGACTGAAACTTTTATACCTTAGTTATTGTGCTGATTTTTAGTTCAGTTGCCAGAAAATAAGCAATAAACTTCAGGATGATAACGTAATTTATCACTGATCGTAAAATTATCGTAATGTGCATGTGGTACCCCAAATGCAGCGTTATCAGATCTTTGTTGGAGGCAGTTTATTTTGTTTATCAAAAAGATTTACCAACATTATCCGTATATACTTATGATAACTGTTCTAGATTACATAACTCAAATATATTATGTATTTATGGATCAATACAGCATTATTGCTAATCTATAGATATGGAGCTTTAGATATCGATATCACTATATTTTATTTATATCTTTCAGGAAATGAAGATCCATCCTAAAGCCGTGAAGGGCGACAAGAACCAAGTCGGAGCGCCCATGCCTGGAACAGTCCTGAGTAAGTCTTACTTTTATTTGCACATCATCATTATCGTCATTTCAGCCACAAGACGTCTGAACATAGGCCTCTCCCAATGATTTCCACATCGCCCGGTTGGTAGCTGCCATTCAGCGCCTTCCTTTACAAGGTCGTCGGTCCACCTTGTGGTTGGACGTCCCATGCTGCGTTTTTCGGTACGCGGCCTCCACTCCAGAACATTGCTTCCCCATCAGCCGTCAGTTCTGCGTACTATGTGCCCTGCCCATTGCCACTTCAACTTGCTAATCGGTCGGACTATGTCGGCGACTTTATTTACACAAGAATTCATTATCCATTTCCAAGGCGATACTTTCAGTTATATAATTGTTTTTATCGCTATGCGGATGGATCCCTTATTCATCAAAGTTTCGTAGTCGTGGCGTGAAAGACACACCGTTTATACTCACAAGCTTAAAATATAGACTGATCTCTCGTTCTTTTTCCAGCCATCAAGGTGAAAGAAGGCGACCACGTTGAAAAAGGCCAACCTATCGCGGTACTCTCCGCCATGAAAATGGAGATGATCGTGCAAGCGCCTAAGGCCGGCACCATCAAAACCGTGTCCATCACCAATGGACAGAAACTGGAGGGAGACGACCTCATCTGCACTATTGAGGACTAAGGTTGTTAAAGAATACTAGTGACGCGGTTTTACTCTGAAAATACAGCGCGGTTACTCCGAAAAACATTCTAAATTTCGAATATTGCCATCCCTCTCACGCAAAGCGATATGCCAGCATGGGTGAGGGTGACAGATAGACACGAAACTACGTACAGCGTTTCTGAGTAGCCCTGCGAGTGTCTAAAAACTTACCGATCTAATATAGCTTGTATGTTAAAATGATAGGATTTTAAAGAGCAGATTTTATATTAAATTTTGTTACTATACTCGAGAAAATATTTTATCTATAAAAAGGCTATGCGTGTGTGAAATACGATACCTTTTTGGATCGAATCGTTTTAGATACTCCCTGTATAAACCGAATTTAAAACATGGCTAAAGATTTCCCACCTACTGTGTAGGTTATATTTTCCCCTTTGCCTGTATTTTATCAATACTCGAAACGCAGAGTAAAAACCGGGTCACGGATTCACAGCCTTGATTCTAACTAGCTAAGCTGTAAAACAGTGTGAACCAATAAACTATGTTTCGGCACAAATATTACACCCTGTAGCTAGTTCCAAACCATTTTGGCTCTTAGAAACTTCGATTGGCTAGACACTAGAATCGTGGATATAGTTGAGTCTAATAAAATTGGACGATTGATAAGGCTGTTTGAATCACTATAAAATTATTCGCAAAAAGACATTGTTGCACATTATCGTTTTAAGTGAAAGTGGTATGTATGCTATGTTCTGTCGCTTATTTATTTACACATCAATACCTGTGATAATGACATTAAAACTTAGTGTCAATTATAAACTAGAAATCATGAGAATACATCACAGTACAAAGATATTTAAAATATAGATCTATTTTTAGGAAACCTGGAATTTAAATCTATAGTTTAGTCATTCCATCCTCTAATGAATTTAATAAATTAATTAATATGATCAAGTTATAAACCTTGGTATAATAATTTTTTAATTGTTTTAGATTTAGAATAAAACATATGAATTTCATGTTTGTTAATTTTGTTTGATAACAAATCCGTGTGCTGGTGCTCATTTGTTATTATTTTATTGTTATTTTTCACTATGTTTGTATTTTATTTAATAAAAAAAAATGCTATATTCAAACCTTTTTTCATTTGAAATAAAACATGGTAATTTATAGTTCAAAAGTATATTTGTGTTTATAATTAATACAATATCCATCCCAATCGTAACATGATTCTTAAATATTTATAAATAAACACATTATAGAATGTTAGCCATAAGAGTCTAGTTTCAATTGTCAGAAAATATTGTTATATTTCTTTTCATGTACACTTAAATCACAGTCAAAAATTAAAATGCTTTCAAATAACAATTGAAACGTAGACCCTGAATTATGAAATTGTTAAAACACTTAGAGAAACCTTATATTACAACTAAATAGTCTTTAATTTCGTTAATTATTGGCAGAGTAAATACAAATGAGTAGGTCTCATCCTCATAGAAACGCCCGAGCGCGGTTTGTATGTGAGCACGCCAATACGTATGCGGCGCGCACGCACACACTGACAAAATTCAGCGCACCTTCCTGCTAATCCACTCTAAATTTTGTCAGTGTGTGCGTGCACGCCGCATACGTATTGGCGCGCGCTCACTTACAAACCGCGCTCGGTGCGTTTCTATGAAGATGACCTACTCATTTGTATTTACTCTGCTTTTGGGACAACCAATGTCCAACACGTAAACGTCTAGAAGCGATTGCGTTAAGTATAAAATGTTACAATATGGCATGGAAAAGGTACAAATATGTAAAGTTCGGTAACTTCTCTAGGATTACATATTTAACTGGGTAGATATTTCTAATATTTTATACATTTGCCAACTTCTAGTAGGCACTTGAACTCAACTCGGTCCTGAATCGGGCTCACCTTGAACTCGGTAGGTACTGAATTAGACTCGAACTTAAGTACCTACTCAAGCATCGTTTTAGAAAATTTCATTATAATGACATGAAAAAGTAAAAACCTTATTGACGACAGACGGTATTAGTGGTTACACCCTATATGCTCCTAGAATCCTTGTATCATTTTAATGACCTTTACATGTACATTTAAAACGCACAAGGAAGGAATTACTTATCGTTACATATTTCATACATTTACGTTATTTTGTTAAGTAACGTCAATATCACAAACTATGTTCGTGAGGCAAGTGCGAAACGCTACACAACGAGCCACTAAAGTATTATTTGTAAGTTGTTCAAAATTCGCCTTTAAATAACGTGGTAATAGGGTTCCACACTCTGCCCAGAAAGATTTAGCGGTCGCTATAACAGCCCGGTGAGTAAATTATCTTATGTTGCCGCTAGAACCCTTTATTATGTTTAGAACCCATCCCTTATCGAGGTAACTGCGCACCTCGTTGGAATGCGACTCCCTCCCACTTCCCCGCGTTCGCCCCGTCTATACCAGTGTCGATGTGACGTCACAGCCCTAGGTGCGCAGTTAACTCGATAAGGCTGGGTCTTCTGACAGAAAAGGGCTACACTAACTAAAAACATAAGTCCTGCTTCTTGCCCTTAATTTTAGTATGCTAGAAAAAGAGAGCAGCAATCACTTATTCTTTATTATATCGCAGACTTCAACCAAGATCTGCGGCTTCCGTGTGTAAAGCCCTTAAACTAACAAATACACAATTTGGAAATAGAACCGTAAAAAGACAACCATAAAATTTACTATCCAATAACATCACATACACCCAAAGTTTAGGCCTAAATACTAGTTCGTTAGTTTTCATTGGATCTTGTTACTGCAGTAAAAGACTGTTTCCACCAGAGATGTGCGAGGATGCGTATTGCGTAGCGAGGGATGTGTTTGTAAAGAACCAATAGAATCGCTTCATTTGCCGAGGCGAGGTATACTCGCACATCTCTGGTGGAATCGCAGCCTAAGGGCAACATAGTGGGTGTAGCAAAGTTATGATTCAAAACCTTTATAGAAAACCATAGAATTACATTTTCAAAATAGGTTACATGTTCAAGTTACACAAAGATCAAAAATACCATAGACAAAGATACCAAAACTTTTCAGATGTAGATTTCTCAATGAGCGGAATTTACGGCACGTGCAACACGCGCGAATTGTGTGTCATGGACCAATCTAATTCTGACACTAAGGTCATGCATCACATAAATTAATAACACACAACACTCAATGTGAGTGTATTACCTTTTTAATCAAACTCCAATATTCTGTTTTAGGCCCCTAGACAAGTGACAAAAGGCCTTTGATCCAGTGTTGTATTAAAAAATTGGAACACATGTAGAACATTGTTTTAAAATTATGTTGTTCAACGGGCGAATAACTTTTTGTAATAAGCTCCATTGTTTTCAGATTATTCTTGGTCTGTATGAAACTTCACTTTTGTAAGAAATTGTTAATAGGTACTTCTAATGGACATAAAATGGTATGTGATTATTAATTCAGACATTATGAAATAGTTTTTAGTTGTTACATAAATCGATCAGTTTAAAGAACTATACTTATTGAAAAAAACTATTTTAAATTAAATATTAAAAATTGATATGTAGAAGAAAATAAGTATTGGCAGACGGAAACAATAACATTAAATAAGTTTGTAGTAACTAATTGGTGCGTCCATTCGAAAAAATAAAGTACTTTGTTAAAATAATTAAGTTAAAATGTATGTACACAATAATTATTTTATTAAATAGTATTAGTAAGTTTTATTTATTTAAATAGGCTAAAAGACAAATTCAAATTAAAAAAGGTGTGAATCGAACGGAGCCGGGCGCTTTTTCATTCATTAATATTTTTTCGTGAATAGTTTAAAATAAAAGTAGCGATACTCAAATTATTTTTTTGAAGATTATGAATGCAACAAACTGGGATTGATAACTAAAATAATTTAAAACTGTTTTTGTAATAATTCAAAAGAACTATGTAAAAAATTTAAATTTTCCGCGTCTGAAATCGATTGCGACTTGAAACATGCTACACGTGGATTTTTTGGTCATAGTGTTTTTATGAAAAGTATAAAACCATTTTTTTACATAGAAGATACTCATATTTAGATTATTAATCGTAAAGTACTTGTCCGAAAACAGTTTAAAATACCTAAAGCTACATTGGAATATTATTTCAAAATTATAAGACTAGCTTAACACAAAATATAACACATACTATAAAGAGATCCTTTAAAGAAAGACAGAGATCTAAGATAACGTGGCAATCCTGTCTCATTTGAAAACGCTTGATATAAATAAGTAAAACTGCTCACTTCATATATTCATTACATTTGTACCAGCCGAAATATGCATAAAAGGTCACATCGATGTAAATAGAATAGAAACAACCTTTATGAAGTTCGCAGTAATACTATATGGCACATCTACCTAAGGCCTCAGCCTCGAATTTAGCGGGCAGCGGCGCGGGAGCGAGGCGGGCAACGCAGACCCGTTCTCGAAACAAGCGGGCAGCTCGCGCGGCGCTTTAGCGGCGAAGTGTTGTGTTCGGGGTTGTGTTGTCGAGATATTTGTTTTTATTCGCGAACGAAATGTCTGAACAACGGCGACAATTTTATTTCGATTCTAATTTATTCCTAACGCTCGATTTATTGTGGGCAAAAGAAGGAGTGCGCTGCCCGCTCGTTGCCCGCTCCCGCGCCGCTGTTTTCGAGAACCGGTCTATTTGATTTTACGCATAAGATCCTGCCGCTCCCGCGCCGCCGCCGCCGCCGCCCCGCTGCCCGCTAAGTTCGAGGCTGAGGCCTAACGGGCAGACAGTCATATTTTGATTCAGTAAAGCTTCAACCACACCTACGCCGCCATCGCCGGCGCGATCATAGGTCAATCAATATTAAAATCAAAAATCAATCAAAATCAAAAATATTTATTCAGTTTAGACCACGAGTGGCACTTATGAACGTCAAAATGTAGTAAAAAATAAAAAAGAAAAGGTAGCCCTTATGGGGCACTTTACATGTCTCCTTATCTTTTGGGTCCTACCAGCGCTTCGAGACAAACATATGGCAAGTGCTGAGAAGAAACGCCGGAACAAACTCAGTCACCACTAATTGCCAGGAATTATCTAACGGCAAGAAAATGACCTTGGGTGAGGCCTTTGTCCAGCAGTGGACGTCATTTGGCTGAAAAAAGAAAAAAAAAAGAAAATGACAGGTCGCGCGACCCATGACAGTCCGCGCGACCCATGACAGTCCGCGCGACCTGTCATTGGCCTATGATCACGCCGGCGATGGCGATCAGCACGCGTTGTTGTGGTTGAAGTATTAAGCGTTTATTCTATACAAGTCGCCTGTGTTAGCGACAGACGCTGTACAGACGTTTTATAAATTATAACTTATACATGAATGGAAATATTATATCAACATCAATAGCCGCAAACTACTTAGGCCTCCATAAAAAAGGACAGTCCACCGTGCGATTGGACGTCCTACGCTGCAGTTTTACCGAATATCCGTCTCCAACTCTATTCAAGATATTTTCCGACTTAAGATATAAAGGAAATACATAAAACATTAAATCTTTTTAGAGACTATAGCAAAACCATTTGTTCATAATTTCACAACAACTAGCACAAGCGAGCCTGTAATTTTTTACATTGTGTATAGATCGTTTTATCCACGAAGACGCGCCCCACCAATTTTTGGTCGAGGGAAGCGCGGGGTGCGGGGAATTAGATCCGAGCAATCCGAGCGTCACTATTGTAGTGTGCGTGTGCACTCATTGATGATTTAGCGTGTACCTATAACACTCAAACATTAGCGGAAGAATGGCGGGGCGCGTCTTCGTGAATGAAACGATCTATAACCAACAATTTTTAGAAACTAATGCTGCTGTCAAACAGCTCTTTAAGTCTTTATCGTATATTAATCAATTTGTTAAAATTTGCTTCGCTATCAAGAAATTTAGTCTACATCACCTGGATCCAACAAGGACTTATCGACGTGCGTATGCGAGAATGTGTCCACGAGGTCTTGCTGTGCGTCGCTGGTACCAGGCTTCGGCTCGTTTAAGTCGTGCTCGTCCAAATCGTTGATGGAGTTGACCGAGTTCTCGCTCAAACTCAAACTGGAGTCTTGGTCGTCGCCGTAACACCGCCGTTTGTGGTCCGTAGGGAAGTTGTGGTAGGAATGTTCAACGCGCACCGCCTGCATTGTGTTGCTGGGAACACATTGGAACATTGTACAACCTGCGCAGATAAAAAATGGAATTGGAAATAAGACGGCTGTTGACACCTCTCGCTATGACGACAGACCGGTGGGTTGTGTCGTGGCGTGGTTAACGGTGCGTGAAGATATTCAAATCTGAACAAATTGGAATAATAGAGGTTCAAATTATTTAGCAAACATTTTATACAACAGTACAGAACCACCACCAATATAAAAATTAAAGTTTTGCAATGATTCTGGCGCGACAAAACACAAGTTACTGTGAAGATACTGGTTCGAAAAGCAACCATTTTTTATAGAAACGTGTTGAATTCAGCGTTCACAGTGTCACAAGTGAGCGAGAGGTGTCTAAAGCTGTCAAGATGTCCAATTCCATTTTCACTCAGCTGTGAGAATGATATTTTGGCATTTTTCATTTAGGTTCTTCTGGCCACCGTATATGCTAGCTTAACTGTACATCTCGGAAGGTAGATGTATAGCAAATGATGCAGCAATAATAAATCAAAAGTGCTAAGCTTGAACAAAGTTTCAAGTTGAAGTAAACTATCCAATAGTACCAAATTAGATGAATTAAACCTAAAAATCTTATTATAACAAGTCATAATGAATATGAAGTAAGTTATACTGTATACTACTGTATAAGCATCAAAACTGTGCATTCAACGCTTATTGCTAACTTTGTGCCAAGTCAAACAAGACAATGTTTGATTTTCTTTGCAAGTTGTGCCTCTAAACTGATTTATTGACCAATTATAACAGCAGCTAATTATGTAAGCACTGCAGTGTTTTGCGCCAGACGTGAATTCTTTAAAATTCAACCATTTAAGCAGAAAGGCTATGACTTACCTAGTCTTTCTTAGAATTGGCCTGCCCATTTCCACTTGCAGTTTCAACGAATACAGCTTGGCTAGTGATTCTAACTTCTCCTTTTCCTCTGGATCATGGAAACTTGGGAGCTTCAGCTCTGTTTGGCAAGAATCTTGTAGGAATTTTGAGAGTTGTTCATTCGCAGCGCTCAGGATAAGGAAACCTGGTCTCTCTTCACGTATTCTCCTGCACCCGGCTCTTATTTCTCTCACTTCTGTCACGGCATTGCCCATGGAATGCTCACTGTAATAATGGTCGCTCTGTGGCGATTTCTCGCTAACATTCAAGTCGCTAGACGACGTTTTCTGCAACGAAAAGTTTGTCCGAGGCGTCTGACTGAACGTCTCTTGCTGACTGGCTTTCTCCTGAAACGCCTGAAAGGACTGAAAAAACGTCTCATTCGCGTTCTGACCCGACACACCAGCGTTCTTTATATCGCTAAAACTGGAAAACGACGAGTGAGGCTGTAAAATGTCCCTATTCTCTTTGCTAATCGCCTCGTCCTCTACGTCGACGACGGTTTTTGAATCGGACATCATAGCGTCATCGTCGTTTCCCGAATCAACTTTAGGCCTCTTCTTTTTAAATCTATTCTTACAACTCGCCCAGCCGCTTTTCACTAAATGTTTCTCTTTCTTCAGCCGTTTCGGTGGAGGCATGTTAACTGAATTTGGAGAGTTATTGTTGTTGTTATTGACGGATTTCGAAGATTTAAACGTGAGGCTTTTATTGAACACTTTCAGTTCTTCGATTCCGGGCCAGTCGGTCAGTTCATCGTCGCCTTCTCTGTCGCTGTCATTTGTCACGACTCCATCCGAGTCACTGCTGCTGAGCGAACTAGATTCATTTCCCGCGCAATCCATGCCGCTATTCGAATCCTCGAACAATAGAGGATTCCTCAAAGAGTGTGACTTGTTCAGGAGTTTAAACTTCCGCGAATGATATTTTCCAGTACTGGTTGTAGGACTGAATACCGGTGGTAGATCTGTGGTGATTTTGTACCCAGTTACCTTTGAGAGGAATGGTCCGTTCTTTCCGGAATTTTTATACACAAAGTTAAAGCTTGAGCTACCAGGCAGTGATGGGGTGTTCGTGAATGATGATGCCATGCCTTCAACGTTTTGAGACTTGAGTATAATCTTCCCTGGCTGTAATACAGACTCCTTTCGTTTCTTTTCCTCATACTTCTTGCATTTAAAATCATTTTTAAAGAATGATGACTTGGATGAACATCCTCCGCTGAATGATCTTTCTCTCATTTCACATACGTCTCCTTTGTCTCTATGGGACCATTTTCTTTTGCCACAAAATGCATTCCTGAAATTCAATAATAATGTTCTTAGTTGAAGGTTCAATATGCTCCGTAAGTAATAAAAAATAATGATTTATAATAATAATTACCTTTCTTGCTTGTGTTTGGTAATATGTGGAATTGACGTCAGGCCTTGGGTCTGCATAATTATTGTAGCTGGTAAGGCTGGCTGTAAAATACAATTAAAAAGTATATCATTTGATTTGACTATATTTTTGATTCTCAGCTTCTGTACAACAGAAACACACAATACAAACAAGAAAAACTTGACTAACAAATAACCAAGATTGTAACACTAAGGACAATAAAGTTGGACAAGACAATAAGTCATCTTTATTGTTGAGCAACAATCAAGTGAATAAAGGTATTACCTATTCAGTTTACATTTACCATCATATCCATCCATAGTGTTCATTAAAGGGGCAGGATAAAAAGCTATTACATTCAAAAAAGTATATTATTATGTTCATAAGTGCCAAAATACTGGTCAAACCAGAATAATTTTTTTGATTTTTCTTTATGTAATAATAAACCATTATAATATTTTTCTTTACAGTTTTTATATGGAGTTTTACTATCTAAAATTTTTTTTAGCTAACTGAAGTTGAGTAAAGAGAAATTATGTAGTTAATAATTCATTAACTTCCTTTATTAAATTATTTTGAATAGATGTGTGTTGTTTTGAAATAATTAACTAAGTAAAAAAGGGACTAACCTCTGTAGTAACACTTAGTATTTCGATGGGCGGAGAGCGCTTTCCATCTGGGTATTCGACAGGCATCTTTTTATACTTTCTCTTCCTCCTTGCATTTGCTGGTCTTGTTGGGGAGAAGTTTTCGTTAAACGAGTCCGACTCGAAATTGCCAATTTGACAATACTGTCTGGACTTCATACTGCTTGATTTGTGCAGGTTTAGATGAGGGTCATCGGAGTCTGATAGTGGTTGCGTGATGAGTGGGGCCTGTGGAGGGCTGCTCGAACTACCATCTTCAACCAAACTCACTGCTACGGCGGCCGCTGTAACAATAAATTATTGTATCATTTCAACTGAACTTCCTAATAAATAAAAATTATTTTCAAAGCAACTAACACCTTCATTAGATACTATAATGTTGAAATAATTAAACACAACACTATATTAATTTTATTATCAATAGAATTTATGCAATTTTAATGGAAAGGTTTACCATGTCAAAGATTTTGAGGTTTTTTAAATAATGAGTATTGGGCTGTACCTATCTTTTTAATGAATTTCTATTAGTTACTCACGCAAATTTCCAGCGGACCTAGTGCGTCGACGGAGCCCTAGTTTCCGCCGCTCTTGCCGGCCGCAATTACTCTCTTCTAGAGCCAGGTTTAAGTCATGCGACAGCCTTTCCATCCTCTTAAACACCGCGAACAACTGCACCCATTGTCAGAACCGTCTAGAACATCTGAACTATGTTTATCTCAAACACGGAACTTCGACAACTTTTCACACACATTAACTTTATTAAATGAGTTCGAAGTACTCTCACAACCGAGACTGATGTTTGAAAACAAAAATTACTAGTTAAAGTACTCGTAAACTGCCCAAAATTGATACTTAAACATTCACTCGCTAACACAAACAAAAGATTTAATGCCCGTAAATCATTTATAGTAACTGACTTAACTCTGAGAACAAAACAATTAGAAAGTTAATTCATAGTGCGATGAACTTATTTGAAGCAGTTTTGGACATAATTACAAAGTTCGTCAGATCACTTGTGTGAAAATATTACTTTTCCATTCACCAGATTTTGACAAAATTTACGGCCACGAAAAGGGCAACAGTTGACAGAGACACAGACAGAGAAATGACAGATATCACAGCACAGATAAATATAGATGACCCACGCTGAACTGTCCCACCAAACTCAATGACAGGGGGGCGCTAGCATCGTTCAACTTATGGTTTCCAACATGGCAAAAATCAGAACCAGCGATCTGTGGGTCTAGACAAAGTGCAAATTTTAATCGCAAACCAGCCGAAAAGTGGTCGAAAAGCCCCTTTTTTGTATGGAGTTTTGACGGATTCGATTTTCGATTCGATCAAAAAGAGCGTTTTGTCTAGGGGGGCTGGTATTGACGGTGGCGCCCTACTGTCAATGTCATGGATAGGACAGTTCAGTATTTTGGAGGCTGACACCTTGACTTTGAGTTTTTGATTTTTTGATTGAGCTCGATTTTTTTGAAAATTTATCTAAGCACAGGCTGTTCCAGTCCAGAATGGATGAACACCTAAAATAATAAATAGGCTTAATTAATTTAATTTTATGTTTTCGGGGAAAACCAAATTATTCTAGGTAGGTTTTATCAAATCTTTCTTAAGTGCCACTTGTGGTCTAAACTGAATAAATATTTTATTGATTTTGATTTTGGTTTCCTCAAAAATGAAAAATAATGTTAAGAAACTTGGTTGGTTCAATTCGAAAATTATAAATCGTACCCATAATGGATTGGTTTGTTCAGTTAATTGAACAAGGATATTTGTTTCAATCAAAGCAGCATCACTATTGACGACCGTTGACTGTCATTTTATATCCGTACGCATCTGTCAGTTTTTCCGCCAATTTCTGTTTTTGTAAATAACATTATTTTAGTGTTAAAGTTTGGGTATATTTGCTGAGAAGTGCGTGTTGCAGTTGTAAACAGGTAAATATATTCAACATACATTACAACGTGTATAGATTTCCCTATTTTCAACACATTTATGCACGTTAATGAGACGCCAAGATGGTTTCATACTGAAGGTAAAAGTTGTAACTTATTACATTGATTTTGGCCTTATTTCTAAGTATCTCAATTAAAAAATACTAACAATTATATGTTGGAGATGTCGATTAATCAGTAGATAAAGGATTAAAAAAGCGTTTTGCAGTTTGTATGAATTTCAAACTGTCGTGTTTCTTTGTATGTTAACTAGAAACGTTAGCTTACAATTTTGATAAGGTAGGTACCTATTGCCACAGATCAGAATGAAATATAATACTGATTTCCTTTAAAAGTTGCAACAGAAGTTCACAGTTGTTTCATTGAGATCCTATCTTCTAAGATTAATGCTAGAAATATGAGCAAAGAGCTACACTTATCAAAACAGACACCTTTAGAAAATTTCAAAATGAACTCATCTTGACCCAGGATAGTATGTTTTCACCCAATATGTTTATAAACAGATTTAGTATTCTAATTATAATAAGTATTTAGTAAGTCACAAAGCCAGTCTGTTGACTTGTCTTATAATATATTTTTATAACAAAATTTAGAATTTTTAACAAAAATAACAGTTGTAGATAGAGCATACCTACAGCATACTCATAATAGCTCTTCATACAGCAATCTTTTTAATGTAGAATATTTAGGCATCCCAAATTAAAGTGAAGGTCACAGATAGTAGACACTTCAGTTAGCTGATTGTATGTGACCTACAAAGCATGTTTATTTATTGTATTAAAATAATAAGACTAGCTTATTATTTTAATTGCATATTTTCGTCTTTATTTCATGTTATTAAAAATTTGATTGCCCTTTAAGTTAGAACAAAATTAGACTTGTTACAATAGAAATAAATTGTTACCGTGCAGCCGTGGTATCATGCTATCACTTTGGCTTCCATGAGATAAAGTGGTTTATCTATCTATTTTTAATTTAATAGTCAAGAGGAAAGCAGCATTTACATTATTGTTGTAAAATAGCACGTATTAAAAGCACACAAAATGCTACAGTGTTTATGACTTGGCATTGTGCATTCGGTGGTGAAAACAAAACCTTAAGCCTTAACTTGTCGAATGATTCTCAAATTCTTTGGGTGCACGAAACAGTTGACCTTGACAGACAAATTGCGTGAAGATTGTATGAAAGGAGTTCGTATACTTACACGTGACAATGCGATAAAGCCCAAAGGCGTTAGTGTTGGATGGCCGACTCCGAGCAACGCTGGTTCGAACCCCGCTGCTGAACTACGATAAATCCATTCTTAACATTAGCATATTAGCAAGAGTTTAATGGGATTATTTGTAAAAATTACTAATATTCTTTATAAACAAAAGTTGTAAAGCCTGGTCCGTGAGCACGTAGAATTTTGTCCAATGACCCCAAGCTACACATTCTTATCGCTCGCGCGTAATTATGTTGCTGTCGCGCTCGCACACTCACTGCGGGCGCCTGTCGCATAGTCGCGACAGCAATATAATTACGCGCGAGCGATAAGGATGGGTAGCTTGGGGTTATTGGACAAAATTCTACGTGCTCACGGACCAGGCTTTAGCCATTTGTTTAGTCCTAAAGCAATGGAGGGCGCGGTGACCCCCGAAGGCGGGCGTCGCACCCGCGCAGCCCTCGCCGAGATCCCTGCGCGCCTGGATCGCCTGCGGGTCACGCCGCTACAGCCGCTCACTAACACGCGCGAGCGCTCGCCCGCGCTGCCCGCCGGGTACCTCAGCCCCGCGCCGTCGCCTGACGAGCTGCTGATACAGCAGAGAGGTAGGAGAAGTCTCCATAACCTGCAGAGTATCAGCCTCGTCCCATCACCTGACTGGTCCCTGCCAGAAGCTGCAGATGCCTGTTGACTAACCCATCACTGTGATGAATTAGGAGAAGCATCTAAATGCATGTTAAGTATCTCAGCGCCGCTCTCGCTAAGATTCCCGCAAGACTGGATCGCCTGCGGGTCACGCCGCTACAGCCGCTCACTAACACGCGCGAGCGCTCGCCAGCGCTGCCCGCCGGGTACCTCAGCCCCGCGCCGTCGCCTGACGAGCTGCTGATACAGCAGAGAGGTAGGAGAAGTCTCCAAAACCTGCAGAGTATCAGCCTCGTCTCATCACCTGACTGGTCCCTACCAGACGCTACAGCCGCTCATCACACGCGTGAGCGCTCGCCAGCGCTGCCCGCCGGGTACCTCAGCCCCGCCCCGTCGCCTGACGAGCTGCTGATACAGCAGAGAGGTAGGAGAAGCCTCCAAAGCCTGCAGAGTAGCTCAGCCCCGTCCCATCACCAGACTGATCCCTGCCAGACGCTTCAGCTGCTCACCAATATGCGCTCGCTCGTGCTGCCCGCCGGGTACCTCAGCCCCGCGCCGTCGCGTGACGAGCTGCTGATACAGCAAAAAGGTAAGAGACCGGGACTATTCCCACCGCTGCAACTCCTGTGTAGTCAGGATCTACAGCTTGATCGCAAATAAAAACCCAACCAGTGAAGGTCGAGTTGTCCTGGGGGAAAGTTAAACTGTCATTAGAACCGCAACGAAATTAATCAGAAGAACATAGGAGGAGTTCGAAGTTAAGGACGTAGTACTTATTATTATTCTGTGGTTAAGGTTCGACCTCTCTCCGATGCGGATGATAGGTGACAAAGGTTTAGTAACCTTTAAAGAGAGAAGTAGGAGAAGCCTCCAAAGCCTGCAGAGTAGATATCTCAGCCCCGTCCCATCACCTGACTGATCCCTACCAGACGCTACAGCCGCTTACCAACACGCGCGAGCGCTCGCCCGCGCTGCCGGCCGAATACCTACCTCAGCCCGGCGCCGTCGCCTGGCGAGCTGCTGATACAGCAAAGAGGTACCATTATCTTTTTAGTGAAGCCTCCAAATGCTTGTCGTGCTGTGGGAGTCTTCCTGCATCTTTGAATGCATTTCCAGCTGCTGATACAGCTTAGGTAAGTGCCATCTGTAGAGCTAGTCTTTGTTATCAACGTCTGTTTATCTTTAACCTAATACTTTTGTTTGCGTTACGTCATTACTACCGACGACTCATTCTAACTGCGATTTTCAACCTAAATATGTATCTCCCTACGTTGATGACGCTGAACGTGTATAATTTTTTTTTTTATTATTATTATTGAACAGTATTTGTTTGCTCATTGCTTTCAGGGCGTAAACGCCTGCCAACAACATGGTCGCCCGACATCGACTTGAAACGCAACTCCTCATTCCATTCTTTAATACGCACGCCACCCAAAAATACGGGTCGTTTCTCGCCCCCAAAGCTCGGGGTTACTCTGCGATCCACCCCGCGGAAACGCTTACTCCTGGGCGACGTGGAAAGAATCCCCCTGACACCAGAAAAGATTGACTTCTCTGACATCAGTACACCACAGAAGTTCAAAATAACCAGTCCAGTTAAAGCGACACCGCCGTCCAAGAGGTCCAGGGTCGAAAAACTGACAGAGTTCAAAGGGCCTATTGATGTCGCCCTCAAAGGACTCAGTCCCACTCAACTTATCAACATGATCAAAACCATCACGTACAAACATCCCGAAGTGGAGGATGAGATCCGCAAGGACATGCCAGTTCCTGACTTGTCACCTTTAGAAGAGAGGTTAAATTATTTGAAGTCGAACATCTTCAAGAGTCTTCCGACCTCCCGTCTCACGTCCAAGACGGACTCACCTGCGTATTCCCGTGTGGCGACTCACTTGGCCGCCTTCAAGAAGTGCGTTGTAGACCAAGGGAAGGTGTTAGTGGAATCTCAACATTGGGAGTCGGTATTGGAGTATGTTTTTCTAGCGTGGAGTTACGTTAGGGCAACGCCGGTGTGGGATAATCAGCCCCATAATGCTCAACGCAAACAGTGCTTTAGAGCACTTACGAATTACTGCATGACCGCTCTGAAGAAAGGTGGGATGAGTCCAGACGTTTTGATTGATGTCCAGGACAAACTGCAGGGAATGGTCGCAGACAACGAGGAAATACAGTCGTGTCTGAAACTCATCCAAGGACAACTGCAAGGATCTGCATAGGTACATCTGTACCTGACTTGATTTGAAATGCAAACGAAAAGTGTAAAATGGATTTGGAAGGCAAAATATTTCTAAAAAGTTAATACAATGTTAAGGCAAAATTATCAAAATCAATGTATGACTAAATATAATTTCTCGATTCCTTTATATTTAGATTTCACGTTATGTTGTTTTTATATACCTTAGCTTATAACAAGACCGCCATTTTAGTGATAAATTGATCATTATTATCATAGGACAATTATTTTAGACTGATCTTGAAAAGAATCAAATTGCAGAAAAGTAGTTTTCATATGTGTATTTTTGTTATTTATAGGAATGTAACTTGAACATCAAATTATTTGATTCTTTTCAAAGCTGTGAGTAAACCAAAACACATCTAGGATTAAGCTCATGTACTGATAGGTAGGATTATAATTTTATTAAGTATTTTATTGTTTACAACGTTTACTTTTAAGAAATACATCATGTTGTTTGTTCGATTACTATAATATTATGTACACTTCACGTTTAAGTACGTAAACTTCTCAATTAAAAACATTTTTGACCTTTATCCAGCGAAGGAAAGCTATATTAAAATATTTTCCATTAATAGTGATCAATATTGTTTGATAATTGAATTATTAAAAATTGAATTGTTGAATTACTATATTTTCTGGCGTATTAGATGATAAGATTTATTTTGTGAATTTTTACATTGGTTTACGTAAAAATGTGCCTTAAAACTGTAAAGCTTTGCCTTATGAAATTCAAAGTGACTTAATATCTCGCGATATTGTATGTTCCAGTTTTTGTAGTATTAAGCATATTTTACGCTTAATAAATTGTATTTTTGATTATTTTTTGTTTTCCTTTATCGTTTCAAAAAACCAGGGTCCATTGATTACACAGCAGGACTACAAAAGTTTTTTTTTGTGCAGCTGTTTTTGTTTAGACTGTCGATAAAATGAGTAATGTAACAATATATTGACATACGTCATAGATCGAATCGAATCTAGACAAAGTGCACATTTTAAACCTAATCGCAAACCAGTCGAAAGACCTTTTTTAGGTTTCCGTAGTCCTGACAAGGAACTCATATAGTTTCGTTATGTCCGTCTGTCTGTCTGTCCGAGGTTTTGCTTGGAAACTATTAGCTCTAGAGAGTTGTAATTTTGTGGAGGTATGTGTAAATTATTCACACCGACAGTGGTAGAATAATATTTAAAAAAATATTTTTTTAGAGTGTTAAGATAGGTAGTTCAGTTAGTTGAGTAAGAAATAGTCATGTATTATAAAATTTCATCAAATTTCTTACTACCTAACCAAAAATCCTTGGAAGAAAATATTAAGAGTGACTTTTAAATGAAGTAATTGCTTGCTTCTGAAATATTTATGGTAACGTAACGACTGACAACTACGGAAATGCGCACTGCGCTTGGTACGACACGCACTTTGCTAATTTTTGGAATTGAATTTTGACGGATTCGATTTTCGATTCGATTAAAAAGTCCAACTTGTCTTAGGGAACAGCTCTAGTTTGTCGACCTACCTACCCTCATTTTTACTTTTTTTTCTGCCCTGTTCGCAAATAGTCATCATTAATACATTTTATTACGTACGTCCAGAGGTTGTGATCGTCTTCCAAATCCTGATTCATTTTGATAAGTTTGTGGTGAATACTAGGTACATGTTTGTTTTTTCAATCTTCCAGAGTGCTCTCCTGCCTTACCTACTATTCGATTTCGTTGATGATCCCTGCTTGTTCAGGATTTCTTTTTTGATTCGTCTGGGTTTGTCCATTTATTTGTTTTTGTTGCATAAATATGGCGTAACGGGATACCGTGTTTTTAATTATTATAATCCAGGTAACTTTTCAGTTTTCATAAGTTTCTCTATTTCAGTTATTCATTTTCCTATTGGCATTTGTTCGGCTTGTAAGAATACTTACCTACTTAATTGACCAAATGGTAGGTAGGTAAGTACACGTAATTTATGAGGCCACTTTTAGCATTAAACAATTAGGCAGTGAATTTGCCAAGTGGCTTATTGATAACAAACATTTTAAAAGGCCAAACGAGAAACTATACTTAGTTGTGAAACAATCTGTTTGAGGTGTGAAGTTTTTCGAATAGTTCGTTGGCGTGCTGGCATGATATTTCGTTTCTTTTGAACGGCTAAGACAAATCATTTGGTATGTAGGCTTCTGGGTTTGTATTTTTATTTTCTGTAAATTTTTAATGTAACAAATGTATGGTCTGGAAATAATTTGAAACAACGCGCTGCCTATAATTGTAATATTTTTGTATTTCCATTCTATTGGTATCACCTTGTCATGTGGGTTGACCAAAATCCTGTCATATAAATCACAAGAATTTTTAAGGTATTCAGGCCTTTTCTTTTGTTTTCATTGTTGTTCTATTGTTTGCATACTTACAATTACATTATTATCTCTTACCATTACAGGTAATCCTTATCTGTCTATGTGTGGTAATAACCAGTTACCTACATAGAAATTATATTAGTGAAGAGGTTTCACTTTCTTTGATGAATATTTACTTTACAATGTCGCTTATCGTTAAGATCTTTTAGTTTCGTAGTTATTCAGTAGCGTCACGTAGACACAAGTTGTTGATACTCAGCGATTCAGAGGAAATGATTTATTTTAGGTTTTAAGCGTCAAAGGGTTTTTAATAATGTTTTTTGAAATGTTAACCTACCTACGAAAAGTTGTTCTAACGCCTTTTTTTAATAGGAATCTACTTAACAGATACTGAAAATCCCAGGGTCGTGATCAATATTAATTCATTTTATATAGGTACTTTTCGGTTCCGTGAATGTGCTAAGATGCTCAAGGCTACCGAACATTTTAAGGCCATATACATAAAATTGTAAGTCAATCTTTTTTTTATTGGCGGATTAAGGATTTGAAATATAAACAACAGAATGTAATACAATTTCAGTTTTACAACTAAATAGTTCACACAAAACTTAAAAACCAATACTATTTTTATTCGTAAACAGTAAATTACTTATTACATAAATACTTACTAACTTAATATTACTACTTAGGTACTACAATTTTCTACTAAATAGGTACATGTGTCATAAAAATAAATAAAAAAAACATTTTAATTTTTATGAGACATGTAACAATAACAATGTACAAAAGGTGTGCAAGTAGGTTGTTACATGATATTGTTTACAATTGATACTGTTAATCAAACAAATTACAATACTTTGGTTTAGTTCTCACGTAATAACTTTAAAGTCATTAATATTTTTAGATTTATTAAAAGTTTGACTAGACTGTTTTAGTGGCTTGCTGGCCCATTTCCTTATCAAGCTTTTCTTAGCTGCTTTGGCTTTCCTCTTTTTGGTCTTTTCTGAAATAAAAACAATGTAATAAGTACTAGATGTGATAATGTAGTAATACACTATCAACTGTTCTTAATATTGAAAAGAGAATTATTTTCGTAGATTCATTTTCGTTTTTGGCAGATTTGGCAGTTTCTTCTGAAAATCCAAGAATATTGTTAAATAATTCTGATAAATAAATAAATAAATAATAATAAAAGTTAAATAATCAATGCAAAAATAGACCAAAAATTTTCCTTCAAATCTTTTAATCCACATGGTTTTTGGCTTGAAGAAGCGTGCTACTTCCACCTTCACATTTTTGTCTGGATTCGGTAAAGGAACTTTGTTCTGTTTGAGCACGGCGGTAGCATCTGGAAATAGACGATATATCTATCTATCTATGTCAGCCTTTGGGTTCGCCTTCGAACATAGGCCTCCTCTTCAACCCTCCACCGTTTTCTGTCCCTGGCCACACGCATCCAGTTCACTCCAGCCTGCTGCCGGATATCGTCTGTCCATCGTTTAGGCGGTCTTCCCCTGCCGCTGGTGTTGTTGCGGGGTCTCCACTCCAGGGTCTTTCTGGCCCAGCGATCCTGGTTCATCCGTGCAATGTGTCCTGCCCATCTCCATTTACGGCTCTCTATCTTTTCCACCACGTCACGGAAATAGACGATACAGTATAATTATCTGGAATAAATATTATTTCAATTTGTCAAAATATCGTAGGGAATAAACACAGACATTTTGACTGTCGTTGACTTAGCTTTAATAAGATTCGACTCGGGGCTAATTCGCGGGTACTTCACGAGGTCGTCTTATCTGAAATTCAGGAGAAGGATTTTTGTTTTTGTGTCGTTGATTTTGAGTCCCACTGTTAGTAGAAGATCTTTGAGACTCGTGAAAATTAGTTTCAGATGACTTGGTTTCGTCCCTATTATGATTAGGTCGTCGGCCAACGACAGGTAAATGGGAAGGCTTATACGAATCTTGATTTAGCCGGAGTATTGATATTTCTTTTTGGAGTGTTTAAAGGACGTCATCTATTTCTATGGTGAATAAACGGGGTGACAGTGGGCAGCCTTGTTTTTCTCCTTTTCTTTTGGTGACGAACCTGGTTTGCTGCCCGTACCATTATTTTGATGCATGTGGATTCATTCATGCAAGCTTTAATGATCCTATTGGTCAGAGTCTTATTGGTTCTGGACACAAGAATATCTTTAAGGGCATTTAAGTCTACAGTGTCGAAGGCTTTTTCTATGTCAATTGCCATGACGTACGTTTTTGTGCCCGCTCTCTATTTTAACCGACTTCAACGCCATCTATCAACATTAGGTATCTAACCGGGGTAAAACGAAGTCCACGCGTACGAAGTCGTATGCATTTTTTTCTTGAATGGTGACCATACTATGTTCTACTTGAAAGGGTTTAATAAAATAAAAGAGTACAGATTTTATGAATACTTAATAATAATATTATCATTAAACATACAATATTAAAAAAAATACAACATAACAAACTTACAAAATAACTACAAATTAATACATTCTAATACGAGTAACTGTACGTTCCAAATTAACTTAATTATAGTTATTCCTCCGGCACATCGAAGTCAATTTTCTTAACTTTTGTGATTATTATCGTATAGTATAGTCTCCTTCGGAATTGCCTCCCCTCCTCGGCGTAGAGCCA